ACCTCTTTTGGCGAAAGTAGGCCAGTGAGAAAATAGTTCCACTGATACACAGCGGATAGACCAAGTAGGACAAGTATCTGGACGCCTGACACACAGACCCACAGACAAAATATTAAAATCAAGGCAAGCCAGTGGCAGAATATAAATTCAAACAAGATAGAACTTTCCTGATACCTGTGTATCAAACTCCACGGTCTTCCTTTCTTCTTCATCCAGCTTATTTACCTACACAGCAAGAGGGGAGGCTGTCATAAGTTAGAAAAACATATTATAGAATCAAATTATATCACATGTTAAAACTGCTGTGGCTTAATGGCGCTGTACTTACATGGAGCTTAGAGCTCTTCCACTGCCACTGGATGTTAAACACTTTAAACACCTTCCATACCTGACGGGATGACAGATATGGTTTTGTGTTTTTAGTTTTGATATTTGAGACTTTCTGTCAGAGGAGAGTAATTATACTAAATACCTCTACACATGCTCCCAGTCCAACAGGAAGCAGCACCAGTAGACTGGTCTCCTCTAGCAGATGGAGGAAAATCAGCAAAGTACTCAGACTACGCCACAGTACTACAAAGAGAGAGGGGAGAGACAGAAGGAACAGTTGGGCCCTAACTGTTTTCAAGGCACGGCCGTACTGTCTTATTATTTACAGAAAAACTATAATTAAATGTTGTTCATGATTGCTGGTAAGCCCTGTGCCAAAAAACCTTTAGTACTGCAAACTAGTTTAAAACGCCACACTTGTATAATGTGATGATTTTCTTACCCGACTTTCTGGACATTCCCACCATGGTCTTCTTTTTTCTCCATGAGCTGATGTCATTTTTAAGAGCCAAGAATTCACAGATGAGCTGTAGAAAACGATAGACGTGGAGAGAGAGAAAAAAAACATACTTTCAATTTTACAATGCTTGCATTATGCCTGACACACTGTGCTACATACAGAGAATGGGATTGTTAAAATATTTCACAATTCATAAGACTATGAATCTGGTGGATTCTAATATGTACGGTATTTTCTGTGGTGTGTATAATCTTACTTGCAGAGCTGTGATGAGAGCAGTCAACACTAGCAGGTAGAGGTTGGAGCCCACCAAAATTTCTTTAATCTCATCTACGTTCTCTTCTGTGAAACCTGGATAAACACAAAGATGTTGTGGTACTGCAGAATCTCCCCACTACCTTGTGTTCTTTCGTTCCCCCCCTTCCCTGTGTTTTCTGTCTGTCCTCCCTGTCTGTGTTTGTCTGGGCGTGGCTACACTCTCTGGCTCCAGCGGCGCACCTGGTCCTCATTCCACTAATCAAGCTCCTGCAGTATTTCAACCCCAGTCCTCCTCACATTCTTTGCCAGATTATCAGTTAACCACATGTGGATCACACTACCTCCGGGAACTCTGCTCACATCTTGCCTGGACAAACTCCCCTCCTCCGTGTTCTCCATTCTGCCCTGTTGGAACCTACCACCCAGTCTTCCGTTGCACTTTTCAATAAAACCCTTTGTTACCCCTTCAAACTGTTCCGAGTCTGCTTTGAGTCCTTAAGTTCTTGCATTATGACAAAAGATGCAATCAAAGGACTTAGTTTAGTTTGATCTCTTGACTATGTGATATAAAAAGTAAAAGGCTGATTTGCATGCTAGTTATTTAGGTCTAACATATTGAGGTTCTACAACAATAAAAACAAAGTTTTCATTTGACCTCAGAACTATTACAAAAGACTTCTTAATACACCATAATATTGCAGAGTAGACACCACATCCTGCAGGAGAACCCATTTAATACCTTTAAAAAAGCATAACTCTTTAAATCATTACATATCTGTTCTCATCTCATTAGCTCACCAAACTGTCGCAGGGAGTAAACCACGTCCTGCAGATGCACCCAGAACCGAAATCCCCTTAAAGAGATCCCCTCATAGGATACAGTCAGAGGGAGCTGAACGGTGCTGCTGCTGATCTCCTGTGAATATGTGGACAGACACATGTACAGCCATGCTGGTCATTTCACTCAAAGCCCAGAATTTATTAGACTTAGCTTTTACAAAGTGAGTAAAATTGTCCTACCATGAGGTCTCTGACTCTGAAGCTGAGCTCATTAACCAGCAGCAGAGGGAGGTAGACCATCTGTCGGCCATCCTGAGAGCTACAAGGAGAGACAGGACGACAGTTTCATTTTAACACACACAATGGCTCAGGGCAGATTCATTATTTACACCTTGTGGAGCTGCAGGGAGCTAAACAAATATTACTTTAAGATCTAGATTTGCCTAAACACTGATAAGGGTATACAAATAGTATAGATGCCTTAAGAAGATCTCTGGCTGAAAACTTTCCTTGAGAAATTAATATTGCACAGATTGGTGACTGTAGATGTTTTTGCTGATGTTATATATCATATATCATGTATCATCATTTTATATATTTTCATATTACTTAAGAAAACCACTTACACATTTCCTATTTTTAGTAAACTGTATTCAAAAAGAGCAGAAAAAAATGTCTGTGTATGTTCGCTGTCCACCCACTCCAGAACTTGAGTGTACTGCAGAGAAAAGCAGCAATAAAGCAGGAGTCAGCAGCACTCTGATAGATCACCGGGCTGTGTGACCTCCAAAGCTTCATGTGACTAACTTACACTCTCATGTAGCGCCGCACATCACTAGGAAGCCCCGCCTTGTTGAAGGTGAAGTCCTCTGACATCATAGTGATTGACAGGTGAGGTCTCCAGTGGGATACAGGATTCTCTGATCTGGGACTCAGCCTCTGATGGAGCCACAAAAATAACTCATTTGGCCACATGTCTAAATCTGCTGCAACAGTGGCTGAAATATGATCGGTGGGCCCTGACAGATACTGAATTACATTTCACCTTCTGCGTGTCTCTCTGCCCCTCGGTGTGAGTGGGAGGGATGTAGGTAGTGAGCTGAGCTGCGTGGTGGACTTCTCTGCGGTCCTCCAGAGGTGAAACACCGGCTTTGTGAACATACACGATTGCATACAGAGTGCCATTAGCTCGAGTCTCCTGTGGCAGAGAAACATTCACCTTTCTATATATAGAGAGAGAGAGTAATGTATAAATGACAAAAGACAGAGAGACAGTAAGTTAAAACAACCAGTTGTCTGGTAATGTACAATTCCTTTTCAATAAACATTTAACAAACATGTATGACTTATTTTCCATATAACAACCTGCTACCAGTATATAAAACAACATTTAATGCCATGAAGATTTCTCTTGGCAATGAGGAAGAAGTCTTAATTAAAATGTGCATGATTACCAGCTGTATCAACAAGTGAAAACTCACCTCTCAAATGTAGAATGTGGGTCAAATGGGTCTATTTTTACAGCAAGGTTGAGTTGGCTGTTGTCTGGCAGGAGGCAGGTGAAGACACTCATCTGGGGAAAAAGAAGAAGAAAAGAAGAGATTCAATGCAGCCTTTTCCATTTTTAGAAAAGCTTTGAGTCCAATTCCAAATTGAATGCAACAGCAGAAATGAAAGGGAAACCATGACTACAGTAGACCTACATTATGAAATCTCAGAAATGATTCATCATTTTTGTGATGAGATTGTTGCCATACAGCACAGATTCATGGTCATGTTCAGACCAATAAATCACCAGAACATTTAACTGTTCAGGCACACAAACACTAACCTATCTCTTTATATGTAAATAAATGAGCTCTAAACTCTTTTCATCTGAAAAAACTCATTATTTTACTTGACTGACTGTCATGCACACAACACATGCCAGGGGATTATACTGAGCAGTATCTCCATTAAAATGAAAAGGTGCACTCGGTTTAGTTACTCCCAAACTAAATTATCAGGCCCATGAAGGGGTGGCTTGTGCTGGATCTCACAGAAACTGAGTTTCGATGTCCCAGATTTGTTGATCTGCCATGAGGGGTGAGGAATCAAGATACAAGGCCTGTGCTAACCTGTAGTCTGGGTCTCGCCGCCAGGTAGGATGTGATGCAGAGCTCCCCTGAGCCTCCATCACAGGGTTTAGTGTTGAGGAAGCCGTACAGCAGCCAGACGGTGTGGAACAAATAAACCACAAAAACCCCGAGCAGCAACTTAGCCATGGAGCTCCTTTTACCGCCGCTGTCCGTGGGTTTGGTGTAACACGATGGGAACATGGCAGCTACTGATACAGAAAAACAACAGCGAAAGAATAAAATAAAAAATGGACGTGGTCTGGTTTGACGACGGAACTGTTTATAATCGGAGACAGCGTCAACACAATAAAATCCCCACGCTTCCTCGCTGCATCAGCATCCTTCCGGTTATCTGCATCCAGCGGACAGATGCTGATGCTGACAACACCTCCGCGGCTGCGCCTACACCGTTTCCACCAACCCGGTGTCCTAGCCAAGCCACAGCATCAAGTCCACATCAATACGCATCCTATCACGGTTTGTTCCGGGTGCCACAAAAGCCCGAAATAGCCTATTGTTAATAACATCCACAGACTCAAGTCAAGTCCCTTTATTTAGCCTGTATGGAACATTTAAAAACAACAAGAGTTGACCCAAAGTGCTTTCCAAAAACACAACACACACAGCCCTTTGGATATATACCATTGTGTATCCAAATAGCCTACACAATACTAGGCTACACCAGTACACATCAATAAAAGGAATTAGCCTATAGCCTACTCGGTTAACATCAAATTCAAATAAACTAAAAGGAAATAAAGAAGAACAACGTCAGATTGAAATGCTGCTTGCAGTGAATTGTGGCCTATTATTAGAGGCACAATTAGGCTTTTTAAATCAGGATTTTATTTGTTGTCTTTAGTTTATAGTAATCTGTTTGCTGATTTCTAAAGGACTTTCCATGGGAGAAAAATGTTATTGAACCGCTACAGGAATACATTAAATAAAATGCTAGAGACTTTCTTAAATTAAGCTCAAATTTTCATTTTGCGGTCCGAGTGATTTACTTTCCTGGAGACGATCTTTGGCCCTTGTGGCCGCGGTGCATCATGGTCCGGCGCAGCGCTCTTGCCCCTGTCCTCCTCCTGTTTGCTAGTTCCTTCATGCTAACCCGGACACCTGTGTAGTTTTCGGACTTAAACAGAGCATAATGTGTTGATTCGGAAAAGTCTGTAGTTAGCGGTAGGTAACTGACTTGTGTTACTTGTGACTTTGTTTACTGTCACTGCGAATTTTAAACGTAAATTTACTGAGAGCTCAAGCTGCCCCCGATGCTAAGTTAACTAGCATAACATGCACAGAAAGTTAGTAAGTAATATTAGCCGAGCTGTAAGTTATTTGAGGCTACGTTAACCAGTATTTGTGTAGTGTTAAGTGGTTATAATATTTTCATTCGTGTTGTACCTGCGGATCTGGACTGTCTCAGTAACCTCGAGGGCACTGAGAGGCCACCAATGACATGACCCAAGGATTAAACACAATTTCATCTGTCATTTCTTATGGAGGCAACGTCTTGCCTTCCTTTTATCCACCTGCTGTTGTATGTGTTATGATCTCCGTGCTACTGCAGTGGTAAAAATCCGCCCTCCAAACCTAAACCCAGTATGGCAGTCTGTGTGAGGGCTGTGTGTTGTGGTGGTGTGGAGGTGACACTACACAGGCTGCTGCTGGCTGGATGTATGAACTGCTCTGGGATGTATCAGCCATTTGGTGGGAACGTTTATCCAAAGCGCCTTTTCAGTTGTCTTAGTCCCTTTGTCTCCACGATGGGTGGGACTCGAACCCTCCTCCTCTGTAGTGCTCGTAGAGTGCGCTACCCACTGAAGTACACTGTTCCACCTGGAAATAGAAACGTGGGATTGTACAGCAGGAGCCACAGTGATGCTGATTCAAATGCTCTCTGCAGTCAAACACTGCCTGTGTCCAGATGTCAACCCAGAACATCTCATGCTACAGCGGTGAGGAAGGAGAACCTGCTGCAAGGAGGTGCAACATGGCCCGGTAAGAAGGAAAGATTGTCAGTATGCACACATGCTTTCTTTCTCTGCTGAATTCATATTTTTGGGTTATATGCCGCTTTTACATTGTTCACTTTTGGCAGTCTTTTCGTAACCAAACACCAATTTATCCTGATTGCAGTTCTTGATATGTTTTTCATACATCTTGCCGTCTACAAATGTTGTTTTCTTTATAGTTGTGTGTGTGTGTATGTGTGTGTACTGTACACTGTGGTTTGTGTCTAGCTTGTTGTTCTGTGGATGTACATTGAGAACAATACAACACCGGAGTCAAATTCCTCGTATGTGTACACATACCTGGCCATTAAAAGTGTTTCTGATTCTGAAATACATGTTTACATTATTATAGGCCAATTTTATCGACTGCTATTAGCTTATCACAGATATATTGGTATCGATGTAAGTGTTGGTGGATAAGTAACAGGAATTTTCTATACAGACTTGCCAATAAGCTGACTATATTTAAATTCTGTAGTTACAGTTTTATCCGTCTTCATGTTTGAATTATGTCCTTTACATGTGGTTTAACTTAGTGTTTTCTTTGAACAGTGTCCTTCATCCGCAACAAAGTGACAGACGCCCCTGTTTCCAGTGTGCCTTCGAGTTTTGTGGTGGTAAGAGATCCACCAAGGGCAGGCGGCCAGAAACCTTTTTGTGGTTACTGAGCAGTAGTTACTACTATCAGATCTAAGTCAAATGTAACTAATGGCAAGATGTTTTTGGAGATGCAGACTGTTTGATTTCAGAGCTTTTATCTGATGGATTTAATACAGATTTTCCCACATGTCTTATCAAACAACCTCCAATCTACTGTCATACGTTATTTATTGAAATACATTGATAACTGTGATTGCTACAGGTAAGTAATCAGTTTCGTGTTTATTTATTTCATAGATGAAGTTTGACCAAGAGGGGAATGTGACATCATTTGGTAAGTGTTATTAATCTTTTATTAACTTGCCTGCCGTCTTTTATTTTAGGAGCAAAATTAAGGTGGTGACTGAGATGAATGATTACTTATTTTGAATATATACACTTGGACGTACAGTAATCAACACTGTGTTGCTCACCATTGCTGTGACCTGTGGTGTGACCGTCCACCAATGCTGAGGCGGATGCTGAAAGCACTAGATCTTGTATTACACCTCTGCCTTTGGTTTAAGTATTCAGTCATGTCCATATTATTACATCTCATTTATTTTTCTCTTACAGAGAAGAAGAAAACAGAGCTTTGCCAGGAGTTAAGTCTTCAGGCCAGAGACCTTCGCTTTCAGCACAGTACCAGCCTAACTACTAGAAATAACTGCATTATCATACGAATGGAGGTAATGCTGTCTTTCTCTCTTATAAGCAGTGTTGGGCAAGTTACTCAGAAATTGTAATATAACTAGTTACTTATTACTCCTTAAAAAGTGATATTATTACTTTACTTATTACTGGGTGATAAAAGCAACTAGTTACGTTACTCGTTATGTTACAATATTACTTTCCTTGGGGGTGGGGTGGGGGGTGTATTCGAACTTTGGACAGGTTTGTGCAGCGGTGTTCAGGAGAGAGGGAGCGAGCAAGGAGGTGCTACACGAATATATGCTCCTCAATCAAATATGATTTTAAATACGGCTCGTAAAAAAATGTTAAAATCAGTATGTGGTGGTCAGCACTTACATTTATCCTAATTATTGGCTAATTATGGGAAACACTGCTTTCACTACCACCCCCTTCACCCCCAAACAAAGCCTCTCTCCCGACTTTATTAACTAATATCATATTCATAACAGCAGCAAGGAGTGTGGTTGTTACAAAGCATATAGCCTAGGCCTAACGTTTCTTAACACCACCGGCTGAAATAAAAAAAATAATTAAACAGCTGTTTTACTGCACATGTAGCCTGTTTATAAGAGCAGTATTGAATAGTTACAAAACGTTTTTTTATGTCAACACCACTCTCTCCCGACGAGTCCAAGCATCAGTGACAGTAGCTGCCAGAGTTTCTTGCTGTAAGTTTCACGTTGCTGTGCTGCTTCAGCAGATGCGTCAATAAATCAGATGTAGAAATGTTCACTATTGAAAGCTTTTGCTTTTTGTTCATCTACAATAGATGACAACGTTCTTTCCATCTTAGACTGTACACAATAATGGCAGCAGTTACTTCCAGCTGTGGAAAGAACACCTTTCCTCCCTCGTTCTCCTTTCTTCCTTCAGTTTTGGCTATCAGTGGACATGAACAACAAAGTCTGGTGCCGCTGAGCTGCCTCACAGTCGTGGATTCACATCAAGGATGGTGCGTTCAGTAACGAGTAACGCAGCGTTAGTAACTAGTAATAATATTACTGTTTTAGAAGAGTAATTAGTTACTACTAGTACTACTACTAGTTACTGGGAAAAGTAACGGGTTACTGTAATATTATTATTCAGTAACGCGTTACTGCCCAACACTGCTTTTAAGTAATTTGTAATTAATGACACATTTCTCTTCTAAATCAAATCTCTATATCACCTTTGATCTGGCTGTTGATTAGGAATTGTTTTGTTACCATAAGTCAAAGTGAAACCATTGATAATAAGAACAGTTTTTCTTTTAGGCATAGTTCTTCATAACATAGTATGTCATATTAAGTAGTTTGGGATCATGGAAGTTGATTCCTTAAGTGTTCCTCGTTCTGGAGGTTTTTTACCATGACCTGAATTATCCGCAGAGGTCTCCTCCTCTCCAAAACAAATGGACCCGGTGATTAAAACTGGTTAAAACACTGAGTAAAGCAGTTTCATGTTAAAAATCACTGTTTCTCCCATGATTTTCGGCGGACATAGGACGCTGGCGCTAATGTTTTCTCAGCTTATGTCTCTGATAACTTCCCATGACTAAACACATGTATCGTATAATTGTAGCTTAACACTGGATAGGGAAGAATCAATTCATGAAAGCTTCTGGCAGACAACCACAATGCTGATACATATGCAAAGGGAATGTGACACCAGTGACAGACGACCAAATGAAACACACGTTACCTTCTGTAAAATCATGGATATCAAAAATACATTGACCAAAAAAATCCAACAAATCACAGATTGAAATTTGTTGGAAACATTTGGCAAAATAAAATATCTGTACTTTGTGGCTTTTTACCTGTCCCCCAAAAAATATTAAAGAAATAAATTATACTTTAATGATCTACATCATTGTTTTTATATATATACCCTCACCCCTCTGTTTCTCCACAGTATTTGAAAGCCATCGTGACCCCTCAGTCCCTGTTGGTGTTGGATTTCCGTGGCTTTGGATTGGAACGTTGGTTGGTACTGGACCTGGCCCCTCAGCTAGCATCACAGACGCACACCCTGCCCTTCGAGTTCAGAGCACTGGAGGCCATACTGCAACACAAAGTGAGACAGATTAGAGAAACACTGTGTGTATTTAAGCATGTTCTCACCAAGATAAAAACCTGCCTGTAAATTGAGGACATCCACGAGGCTCTGTTGAGGTGAAGCATGCTTGTGTAGTATAAATGGGTCTGTGTCAACAGGTAAACACTCTACAAGCTCAGCTGAATGATGTCGAGCCAGTAATATTGGACACATTGGAATCCCTAGTGGATCCTAAAATCCTTTCCGCTGATAGAAGTAAACTACATGTACTGCTGCAGAACAGCAAGAGGTAAAGCACACAACCACACTGACATCATTTGTAAATGCTACTATAAATAAGGTTAGATAGCATCAGGATTTCAATGCTTTTCTAAATTATGGATATGAGGAACTGGGTGAGCATCTCTGCGACTGGACTGGTTTAGATGATTACTTTTATAAAGCTTAATTAGTCACGTGTGGGATGCCTCAAGGCTCATTGTGGCAGTGTTAGACCTAAACATTCAACGATCATATTCACATATTTAGTTTCATCTATCTCTCTCAGTTCCCTTCTTGTCTCTTGTTCCTCTTGACAGCTTATCAGAGTTGGAGACGGACATAAAGGTTTTTAAGGAATCCTTGCTGAAAATTTTGGATGAGGACGAGCTCATGGAAGAACTCTGTCTGACGAAGTGGACGGACCCAAGAGTTTTGTATGTTTCACGTGCACGCATATACACATACATGAATGCTAAATGCAGGTGAAAGCTCCCAGTCAGTGGCTGCAGTAAAATAAAAGAAAGTCTGAGATGTTGCTGACCCGCAAGGTGTCAAAATCTTTTCCCTCTACAAATAGTGTTTTTGTACCCATTGTCCTCAATAACTGATTATGGTTTGGCGTCGCAGATGTAACTGGTTAGCAGAATTTTTTCCATTTAAATACTCCTTTCCATTTTTTCTGATCTCATTAAAACCCAATTATAAAACAAAGAATGCAACCCTCCCATTTTTCTCCCTCTAAAAAACTAAACCTTTTGTTTGCCGAAAAGTCTTTTACAGATTAAGAAGTGACAAATATCAAGCATTTATGTAATTTTCTGTAGACTTATGAAACATTTTATGATTTCAATATCATGTCAATAAGCTATTGAATCAGGAAAAGTCATTAAGTGTGGAGATGATAAAGCAAGGCAATGTGTGCAGCACCCCAAATAGAACATGAGGGAGACGTGAAAAACTTACGACCACGAAGGGACTCGAACCCTCAATCTTCTGATCCGAAGTCAGACGCCTTATCCATTAGGCCACGCGGTCAGATAAGATATTTGTAAGACAAGTACACGTGCGTTGCATGGGATGCGCACACAATGGGCCTCTTCCCGGAACTAATTTTGTGAATAGGTCTGTTGTAAATGGCTCGCATGAGTCATTTAACAACAGCCATTTCCTCGTATTTATAATTTACGAGCGGTTCAGACCAGTTGCACGAGTCTTTCTTTGCAGGTACAAATATAGTTTAGCCTAAATCTAAATTTCTTTACTAAAATGCAAATAAATAACTAACGTTATAATAAAACTATTTGAATACGCTGTTCATCGTAACATCGTCTCCGCCACGGCCTTTTACGGAAAGGTCCGACAACTTCTTTTTACCATGTCAACTCATTCAGCTGCATCAAGGCCTGAAATGGCAGCTTTTGTCAGAGTGAACATCATCTGTTGTAACACCCGAGTGTGATATTACCTATTATTATTCTCTCGTCCATATTTGTGACTGTACATCGCCTTTTAACGCCTCCCATCTAAGCATTTGTGTATCGCTTTGAATATCAAGACGTCTTTAGGCGTCTAACTTCACGTCAAGCCCTTTTTATATATATAAAAAGGAAAAGGGATCCGTAATATATAGTCGCATACAGTTGTTTTAGTTTTTTCTGTACGTTTTCGATCAGCTGATTCAGCAAGGCTTTTACGAGTGTCCCATCTTTTTTTGTTGTGTTTTGGTTTTTTTTTTCACTCTTGGGTCACATTCTGATTTCAACTGACACTATAGATCAAATCTCACCTTTGCTCTCTGACCCAAGAACAGCAGGTGGTATCGGGTTACAAAGAGCAATTCACGACCAGTGCTCCTGCTTTTAAGTGTGTGGTCAATCCCAGTTTGAAATACTCCCATAAGCAAACTTTAGAGGAAAAAGCATGAGAGATTTAGGATGGCAATATGAAAATATTCTTGCATGAGGTCTGATGATTTGGGGGATTTTTTTCGGACTGATATTTATTGTCTGGGTGCTCAAGAGGACTGTTGCTGTGTGACAACTAAAACTTGTTCATGTGATTTGAGGTATTAAAATGGTATATGGCATAAAAACATTTTTGTTCTGCAGAAAGATGCAGTTGTATTTTTTGTTTTTATGTTTGAAGGGGGTAAAGTTTTAGAGTAGTTCCAAAATACAAAATGGTCAATTTTTTGTATTTTTAATTTTCTCATATCTGTCTGTCTGCCTTTCTAGTGAGGAGAGCAGTTTGGGTATTGACCACGCTGAGGAGATGGAACTGTTACTGGAAAATTACTATATGCAGGTAGTGCTATGTATGGAAAGCCCCAACCGTTGACTAACTGTTAGATATAAAAATGTTTCACTTTTCCTTATTAATTATTAGAAAAACTTCTGTATATCAAGACCTGAAAACACCTTTTTGTAAATATTTACACTTATCTGTACCTTTTTACAGTGAGTGGTTCTGTTGATTGTGTTGACTGTTCATACTGTGAACTGCTCCATACAGGCTGAGGAGCTGGGGAACAAGACCAGGGAGCTGAAAGGGCTGATAGACGACTCTGAAAGTGTCATTTTCATTAATCTGGACAGGTACACACAAACTCACACATATACTGGATATACAGTAACGATCGCTTCCTAATGTACTTTCAATGACAGGGATGGGGGCCAATATACACGTTCCTCATTTGGATTTAAAAGTGTATTTAAATCTGATTAAGGTGAACAAAATGTTTAATGTATAAATGAGCACCTAACCTTTTCTTGGAACAACTGAACCTGTCCTTTAAGCTGACCCATGACAGACATATATATTTTAAGTCTCTTAAGGTTTTATTTTCTTCCAGCCATCGTAACGTGATGATGCGCCTGAATCTGCAGCTGACGATGGGTTCCTTCTCCCTTTCCTTGTTTGGTCTGATAGGGGTGGCCTTTGGAATGAATTTGACGTCGTGTTTCGAAGAGGTGAGACAGCTTCTTGCTAAAGAATTGCATCACATCTAGAGTTTGCCGTTAAAAACTTGCCTTAATTTTTTTTTATTCCCGTAAGCCTTTGCCTTTGTGTGTTTTGGACTGTTAAAAATCAGACATCTGAAAAACAAAACTTTGGCTTCGTATAGTTTCTAATAAGCATTTGTCATTTTATTTTACAGAAAAAAAATAAATTGATTTAATTAAAAATGGTTGATTGTTATGTCAGTGTGAATTTCAAAGAAATTTAAAATCATTACATTTTGTTTGTGGACGTGCATGCAGACGTGCTTGTCTCTTTTGTTGTTCTGTAGCCTTCCAGTGTTGCTGCAGTGTCGTCTGAGTTTTTATACTTTTCCTTAATGTGTTTGCCTGTTTGTGTTTACCATCAGGACCCTCGTGTTTTCTGGCTGGTAACAGGCTTCATGTTCTTGGGCAGCGGGCTGATATGGAGACGACTGCTGTCATTCTTGGGACGACATCTAGAGCCTTCAGTACCCCCGCTAGTAATACAAATTTTGTTTTTTATTAGATTCTTAATATGGTACCATGGCACCTCACATGGTGAATACAAGTCTTTAATCTCTATAAGGCCACTCCTTACCTCAAATTGCTGATATAAATTACTGGACATCATTTTCTTTAATTACGCCAGATGAAACAGTGGTTAAAGATTGTGTAATATGCTAAGTGTCGTTTCTTTTGAATGTGATACAGATCCCTCCAGTTTGGAAGAGAAGCATCAAAGCATCAGACATCAAGGCGGGAGTCAGATGAAACTATACATCTGCTCTGTAAAAAGCCACAGACCTACAGACTCTCTCTCTTCAGCTTTAAAAACGATTGATTTACCACACTGGACATCCTGAATTCTGTATTTAGGTGGGAAAAACACCTCATTGTTTTACTCCCCCATGCTTACAGTAGAGGCTGAGACTGCATCCAAATGTCTGGAGACAACAATGTGTTATGTGTTCTTCTGTGTCCCCGTCATTTCTTCTACTGTGTTGGTGGATAAAACGTGGGCACAGAGTACTGCTCTGTCATCACTGGTTTTCAAGCAGTGGATGGATATATGGGCGAGTGAAACAGATATCCCTAATAATATGATAAACACCTTACATGCAGTTATATGTTCCCTCATTTCATAGGTTAAAAAAGTGTGTTTAAAGGATTACATCATATTAATTTGATTTAAATAAATGTGAACCAAATTAAGTCTATTGTTAAGGTTTATGACACGTTATTTCCTCTATCACCAGTATGTCTTGCCTTTGCTAAGCTGAGTATTTACAGCAACATTGTAACACCAGTTAGACAATGAGGACATTGTCTAAACTCTTGAAACATTTACTGCTCTTAAAAACAAGGATTTATCAGATGATAATCTGGTATCTGATGTGATTGTCAACATAACTTTCAGGCATTTCTAGCAAAACAATGGGTGAGCTGCATCAGCAGTTATTCCTTAGTCTGAAAAAAACTTGTTGCCAGTTTGTTTTGTTTTGTTTTAAACTTTACTGAGTGTCTCAAATTCACATTTGCCCCCAGAATTTAAGTGTCTTTATTCATAAAGAACTTTCAAAAATATGTCTGAATGACTTTCTCCCGTTTCTATTTGTATAAAAAGCTATTAGTTTTCTAAATCTTAAAGGCGAAAACTCAATGACAACATGTAAAAACTTAAAGGACTTAAAACTTAAACTAAAAGGAAAACTCTGTTTCATTCTGGGGTACTTTAAACCACAGCAAACTACTGCAAGTACTATTCAACATATGCCTTACAGCAGTGGTTTCCAAACTGGGTTTCATGATATCCTCAAGATTGCCAAATAAATTGGAGGGGTCTTTGGTTGAACTGGTCGAAGCTGATAGACTTACGCAACAAGTGACGAGGGATCACCAGAAGATTTGGCTTCATCTTCAGGGGTGACAAGCCAAACATGTTGGAAAGCACTGCATTATAGAACTGTGTATTTTATCTAACAAACACAGCCAAATACTTAAACTTTTTGTTGTATCTCTGTGTTTTATTTATTGCCTATAAAAAATATTTGTGGAATATTCCATTCTTTATTGAGCTTTTCTAACACTGCAAAACTACAAAAAGCTCTTAAGTGTCAAAATGAAAACAAATTAGTACAAATATAATTTTATAGTCATACATATTTTATTTCCATATTTATAATTTTATTTTTATTTATTTTATTATAAGAATCCACCCGTTTCAGGCTTCTTTTATACAGTCTGTGGTTTCAAGGCACCTTTGTCAGTTTCAGCTTTGACATTTAAGAGTCTTCAAGTGTGAAACAATCTTAATTACATCCACTTGGTTGTGAAATAAAAACTAAATAACCATATTATCATTGTCACATACACAATGATTAGAGCCTAAACTGTGATGTATGTTCAGATTCCAGATCATCAGTGTTTTATAGTATATGTTTCATTTGTGATGGGGACTTTTTGAACGTATCATTAAGAACTACATAACCGTTCTAGCAGCTGATGTCTATCTATTATTTCTTTATTGATTAACAAGTGATCACTAAAATGTGCGTTTGTGCTGACTGCCTGGATAGAATCAATGATGTTAGTAGATGATGTCAAAAAGCAGCAAAGAAAAGTGACATTTTCTCTCATAGATGTGGAATATTTTATATTTTTTATTTTTATTTTCATGGAAAAGTACTTTAAAAAAGGAAACTTTCATCACGGTAAATCTGTTTGGTACAAAAGAGAGTTATTTTGTTTTTAATATTTCAGTTTTATGTGTCAAAGTGACTTAACAGTAGATGCTGTGTTGTACTTTTCTGTCATAACCGCTCTTTTGCACTAGAGGGAGTCATATTGTCATATAGTTAAAAAATTTATCTTATACACTTCAGTGGAAGCCCCACTCCTTAGTTCCCTACTTTAAAAAGTACAATAAAAACCGTATGGGATACTAAAAAGGTTATTGAATTGTATGTATTTAAAAATGACTGGCTTACAGTTGCTGCTTACAGTTTTATGTAGGTTATCAACTTTTAATTTCCAAAGTGTTTCAGTCCTTTTTTTAGACCCTCAGTGACTTTAAAAATTTCCCGCTGGGGAATGATGTTATTGTCCCCACCAACATTGACATGAAAAATCCGCCTTTGATCAAATTAATTCGGTAGACTAGATATCCTGTAGGTGATTTTTAATGTCCACACCGAGTAAAAAAAAGGCCTGCACTAAATATGTAATAAGTTATATAGCTGTTCTATAAATCAAAATTACAATCGCAATTCTAAAATCAAGAATTGGGCAAGGTCTATATGATAATCCTGCAGTCCTACCGTATAAAGTAGCCACTCTGGAGGGAAAGAGAAAGTGGGGTCAGAATGTTCTCACTTGTTATTTTTCAAATAAATCTAATCTATGTGCTGCAAAATGAGTTAATTTTATAATATAATGTAACATCTTTACATTATTTCAGAGTTTAGTAAAGTTCAAGGGGCAAAAAACCCTCAAGTACTCTTAAGAACTGCTGTACTTTACATCCTCTACAGTTTCTCATTCCTATCCAGAAGATGAACAATGAAGAGAAAGCACCCAAAATGGAAGTTTTAACACGCTATTTTCTGTCATCTTAAGACGTTAAAATTTGCCATGTTAGTGCTCGGGGGATTTTATTTTCCTTTTTTCTGCTAATCGGCCCAAAAAAAACTGTAGGCCTCTGTTGGCATCTGGTCAATGCATTTGGTATATAAACAGTTACTCTCATTCTCTACTATAAATCCGAAGATTTTTTAAAGTTTTGTAAGTCTCACAGTGGTTTGGTCCGTGGCCTACCTTGATCAGTCCTTTGTTTTTAAAGGTCTACTGGAGGGCGATGTTTTTGTTGTCCCCACCAACAGTGACATGAAATATCCGCCCATCATTTTCAGAGTAATGTAACCTACAGTAAGGCAGGTAATTGTCTGTAGTTAAGGGCCAGGGGTGCAGGACTGGTGGGATGAAGGGGACAGAGTATGCTTGGCCCTCATGTGAGGAGGACCCACAAAGATACTAGAACTAGGAATTAATAGCTGTAAATGCGGGGAGGGGCCCATAGAGAATGCCTATGTACAGGGTCCAGAATATTGTGCTATGCCCCTGGGTATAGCAAAGGGTAAACAGCCCTAGCAGAGTTCATCTCCTCATATGGCAAATTGAGAGTAAATGTGGACAGGAACAAAATGTGACAATCTGTTCCAAGGTTTCTTGGTGTGAGGGCAAAATAAATGGACCAGCATTTTGTTTAATTCTCCACAAAAAGTACAGATGATATTAATTTATCAGTCATTTATAAGTTTTTGAAGGTGATAGTGGTTTAAAACCTGTCAAGACATGTCTTTGACTCTTTAACATGTCAAATTATCTTCTTATTTTTGGTTTGCAGCGAAATAAAAGTCCCATGGTTTTCCCCCTAAAATGTTTTTTATTTCCCTTCCCTTTGATATAGGTCACACCCTGTAAGGTGTGTGTGTATGTGTGTTTGTCTAAACGCCCCTCAGTGAACGTCACGCCGTGCTGACGTCATCCCGTATCCACGCTGATTGCCAGTCCAAACAACTTTTCCAGAGGAGCTCCACATCGCAACGCGTCGTTCACCGAAGTGCTGAGATTTAACAAAGTAGCCGAAAACGTGACGAGGAATAAGCGGAACGACATAATCTGGCTTTTTAGTAATTTATTTTGTTTTCTCACCTTTTATTTTGTCCCCCCCCCCCCCTTAAAACTATCATCTTATAGGCTATTGAAGTTAAGATGAGGAATCTGCGGTTGTTGTTCCTCGTCGGGCTGGCGGCTGGATTCATCAGCGAAAAAGTAAGTGGCTTTTAATTGCGGTTTTTTAAAGCATCGAGCAACCAACGGCATGTGAAACTTGAATGCTATTTGACTCAATAACGTCGACCATGTGTCTTTCTTTTATCTCGAGAAAATTCACTAACGTTAATTAGCCGTTAAGATACGTTTAGAAGAGTCCCCTCCGCATTGTTTAATTTTGTTCAGTTGCCCTTCTCTCCGTTTGTGTTCCCTAAAATCAACGGGATTGTATTTTTAAATGCCCTAAGTTACTTATAATGTTATTTCTAGCTTGTTCAGGTTTATTTTTTTAACACAACATCCCTAATTGCTCAGCTGGACTCTTTATTTAATGTTGGTCGTTGCTAAAATGATCAACGTGAAAAGGAGCATAGCTGTTTTTAAGCACAAGGGAATCTTATCTTCTAGAAAAGCAACAGCATTTGAGATAAGTACATTGGCGGATAATGCGGGATTTACTATATTCATCCATACACTGTGGATTCAAGCCAAGTTCGGGTCTAGTCGGTCTCGAGTTCACACGGGGCCAAAGTCTGTTAGCCTCTCCCTCAGAGCTTTTAACATTTCAGCCCAAACTCCAGACCTGACCTGAATTTCTCTCCCACACAGGGCTTGGGTCAAGTTTGCAAAATGAAATGTTGCATCAGAAATAATGAATATTAACAGGGATGAAAATGGTAAGAATGACACAA